GAACACCCGTTTGTCTCTCAATTCCATCGCGAAATCCTGAATGTGCCGGACCGGGTACCGATCCGGGATCGTCCGTGCATTTAACGAGCGATAGTCACCGCACGGTCGCCACTCTTCACCTCTCTTCGGCACCATATGTAGCGGAGACGCCCAACTACTCTTCGACGGTCTCACGATTCCGAGCTCCATCATTTTTTCAAACTCCTTTCGCGCCGCGGTCAATTTATCCGGCGCAAGTCTCCGCGGTCTGCACACTACCGGCGGCCCCGGGGTTGTCTCGATAAAATGTTTCGTGTTATGTCGCACCTCTTTCGGGCGCCCGTCAGGTCGTACGATGTCCGGATAACACGCTAAGAGTTTGTGATACGGCGTCACTCCCGTCACCGTTCGTACGGTCGGCATTCCGCACTGTGCGCTACGTCCCCCGGCTACGAGTCCCGTCGCCTGATCGACTAGCCGACGATTCCGCAAGTCCACCAGGAGTCCGTAATAGGACAGAAAGTCCGCGCCGATAATCGGCCTCGACACATCCGCGAGTACGAATCGCCACGTAAAGTTCCGTCGTAATCCGAGATTCAACGTCAACGTCTCGGTTCCGTAGGTATGGATCACCGTTCCATTCGCTGCGGATAACTCGTACGTCGATTTCTGCCGCGGCCCACGCACCATCCTGCGAGGAAAAACGCATAGGTCTGCGCCTGTATCCACGAGGAAGTTAATTCGCGTGTCGCGGTCAGTCACGAACAGACGGCGCGAATCCTGGCCTTGATCACCGGCCGTCATCAGTGACGGGCCATCGCGTTTCCCTGCGGCTGTCCGGCACACGGGGGCTCACATCTTCGTGCGTCCGGTCCGAATCTCCAATGGTAGTAACAAAGACCGTTTGACGCGTGACCACGGACGCGAGAGCGCGATCGCAAACGCTCCCGCCCGCGACGACCACCGCCGCCGCTTCGGCGAGGTTCTCGCTCTCCTAACGCCTCGATGCATTTTCGCAAGCCGGTCATTTGTTCTGCGAACTCTTGCTGCATGGCCATACGCATCTGAGTCATTTGCACATTGATTCTCGCCTCCAATGCAGCTATTCCGTTTCCGTCGGCACCCGCGAACGTCGTCGGCCGAGCCGCTTCCGCGACGTGCACCGCGGGCGCTCTCGTTGCCTCCACGATCGCGTCCGCCATATCCGCGAGCGTCTCCAGCGTATCTCCCACGCGCGTTACGAGATGCGGCTGCAAATAAACCGGTAGTCGACTCAACCAAATGGTTCGCAGGACTTCATCCCCGACGACATTACCGGCGAGACCTCGAAGGTGCCGCAAAATTGTGTCGGTTTGCGGTCGCCTATCTCCTCATGCTCCAGGAGCCGTCGCGTCTTGTGCTCCTGCGATAAACTCAGTCTTTTTATGAGCTCGCATCTTAAAGTTTCGTACGCGCGTTCCGCTGGCGGGTTCATTATTATGTCGCGTACCTCCATCGCGTGTCGCGGACCGATCGCCGTAAGAACGTAACCGAACTTGGTCGCGTCCGTAGTAATTCCAGCGGCCTGGAAGCTCCGATCTATGATATTGAACCACAGTTCCGGATCCCCGGAAGTAAATTCCGGCATCCTCATGCCTACGCGATTTACCTCGGCGCCCGCCATGAACAGGCTAGGTCGTTCAACCGCTTGTTGCGTCCCTGGCACAGGCAGTGCATCTCGTCTCGGCTGCTCGATTTGTATTAACGGAGGGGCAGCCCCATCGTCACGCGTCAACACCATACTGTCACTTTTTCAAAAATGCACTCTCCAAGATCCGTATCACGATTCGCGGCAATATCCACAGCACTTCGCGTCACCTTGATCACGTCGGGGTCACCACTTTGGGTGAGCGTGTAGCTTAGCTCGATAATTATTGTTCTGTCAATATCGCGAATCGGGAGAGGATCGTTAAGACGGAATAGTTATTAGGTGTTATAATTATATTGTCTTTCACTGCGTTTATTCGGATTATATCAAATACAGACTTTTACTCTTCACCGAGGAAAACCGTGTATCGCGAGCGCGAGTCAAAATCTATCTGCCCTTCGAGGCCGCGTATTGTCTTGCTTCTCTCGATTTTTCCACGACCTTATTTTTATTTTTAGGTGATTAGCCTATCTATTATTTTGAAGAACTTTCGCTTTTTATTCTGTTCGGAAATCACAATCTACCTTCGTCATGCTAGACGCTTATTTATTTATTTATTATTTTGTGTCACCGGTCGCGATATCCTTAACACTTGTCGCTTGTCATATATTTTTATTTCGTGTAAATTTTATTTTATATATATTTTAATATGCTTGTGGCATTTATCGCCACAGTACAATTAGAGCTTGTCTGTCCAGAAGAATCAGGACGTTTGTCCTTTGTATCGTTTGTCTGCTTGTCACCGTTCAATTTTTCCAACGAAAGCATTTTGGAATATGTACTATATCTGTATATGTAAGATGGTGAATGTTTAGTTGACTGATTTGTTGCCAGAAGGACGATAATTTTGGATCTTTGTCGAAAAATAAATAAATTCTTAGTTTAAATCGAATCTATTGTTTTAATGTGCTTTTTGGTGAATTTATTGTACCTTTGTCGCAAATAACTAATGGCTGTTTGTTCAATCGTATTTAATCTGATTTTTTAATCTAAAATATGAAAAGTAAAATTAAGTTTGATATCGCACAGTCTTTATATAGTGTGTAACAAATCATTATTGTATTGTGTAATCTTCGCGGCGTTTCATCAATTTTCGTAAAATAAACGTATCAAATATCGAACAAAAAATAAGATTATGCTTTTCATGTCAAAATTTTATGTTTTTGTTAGGTTTCACTCACAATTTATTTGAAAATGTCTGCATATTTTATATTAGCTATTAACATTATATTATATTGAGAAAGACTGCCGTGCAGTCGAAACGTATATATACATGTAATTTAAATTCAGTTTTATTTAAGTTTTATTAAGATTAATAAATGTTTTAATATTTTATTAATGTAACATTATAATTTGGTTTGCTCGTCAGTTGGCCTTTGTATCATATAGTATTCCTTCCTTTTTTATATTTAAATCTATTACTGTATTTAATACGAAACGCGAACATTTAAGTCGCCACGCTGCAGTACGAGTACGGAACGATATTTATGTATCTTCCCTTGAGTATGTTGTATGACCACGAACGTGTTGTAAAAATGAAGAAACTTTTTCGTGTATGGCGAGAAGTTGTCTTTTTCGTGTGTCACTTGTTTCAAAAGTTAATATCATGGTTCTAATGACAGAACGTGAAAAACATAACTCAATTAAAGATAAAAAACAATTAATATAGTTAACTTACAATGATGTTAAAACGTCGGAATATAGAAAAAACACGTTTCGTCTAGGGCTTCTTTTGTTATCTGACGGAGTGATGAATAATATGTCAAATAAGTGTCGAGAATAAAACATAAATATAAATTAATTTAAAGGTCTTCGATAAAAATAAATGATAAATAATGTGTGTCAAATAAATATCGAGAATAAAACATAAATATAAATTAATTTAAAGGTCTTCAATAAAAATAAGTAGTTGTTATTCTTATTTAAAGCACTGTAACAAACCTATTCTTATGTTTTCATCAATTCGTCGATAATATCAAAATATGCACCGTCAAGTAGTTCTGTGTCATTTATCATATTGATGCCATTTTCTTGTTCTTTTATGTGCATCATTTCAGACACGAGTCTTTTGTGGTAGTTTTTTTTCCTGTCTAAAATTTCGACATTATTCCAGTCAAATGTATAATGATAATTAAGAATGTGTTCCGAGACTATCGAATGCTTAGCGGAGTCTAGTTTGATATTATTCATATGCTCTCTAAATCTAGTGTTTAATTGTCTTTTTGTTTGTCCCACATATGAAGCGTCACAATCTTTACACCGAATTTTGTATATAACATTCTTATTGGCAAAGCGGTCAATTTTGTCCTTTGAGATTTATTAATCCAGTCTAATTTATTGAGGCAGCGATAACCCTTAAATTCCGATTTTTTAATAGAGGATGCAACTAATTCAGAGATGTTATTTATATATAGAATTACAAAGAAGTTATTTGTTTTATTTTCGTTGGTTTCATTATCAATTATTGTGTGTGATTTTTTATTAAAAATAGTTTTAATTTTGCGATTGATTGTCTCGAAAATCAAGTGTAGTGGGTATCCGTTGCTCAACAGAATATTAATAACAATATGTGTGTTCTTTTTGTGGAATTGAGAATGTGACAAAAGAACCGTTCTGTCAATCAGATTACACATAGTTCCAACTTTATGACACAAAGGATGGCTGGAGTAAAACGACAACATGCTACCTGAGAATGTCCCTCTTCTAAACCAATCAATGTAAATGTAATTGTTTATAATATTAATTGATAAGTCCAAGAAACTTATGCTTCTATTCACTTCATATTCTATTGTGAACTGTAATCTTGAGTGATGACTATTAAAATTATTTAAAATTTGTATGATTTCGTCTCTTGGTGCAGCTAAAATTATGTTATCAACATATCGATAGTAAAATCATATATTTGTGTTACAAGTATTGAGTATTGATACCTCTAGATCTTGCATCACCATATCGGCGATTATTAGTGATAATGGTGACCCCATGGGAGTCCCAAATGTCTGTTTGTATATTTTATTGTTAAAAATAAAAAATGTTGATGTTAAAATAAATTTGATCATTTTGATAAACTCGTTTTTTGGAATACTTGTGTGTGATGCAATATAATTCCATCTTTTATTGATACTCTCAAATGCAAGATCTAAAGGGACATTCGTGTATAAAGACAACATCGAGTGAGACAACTATATCGTTAGATTCTAATCTCTGGCTAGACAGTGTGCTACACAACTCATAACTGTTTTTGACATGGCTTTTTTCAACAGGTATGCTAATTGATAGTATTTTTTGTAGATAAATAGCTATTGAATATAAGGCAGTATTGACTGATGAAACTATGATTCTGAATGAGGTATTATTTTTGTGGATTTTTGTAAGGCCATATGCCTTAGGTAAGAGAGAATCACTAGACCTTAAACTGAAATATTCTTTTTTGGAAATGTATTCCTTCTTGAACCAGTCTCTTAGAAGAAAGTTGAGATCTCTTTCAATCTTTGATGAAGAATTTTTTGTGATGATAGAGTAAGTGTTGATATCATTAAGTAAATTTTCCATTTTTTCAATATAATAACATTTGCCCATGGCAATCGTGACATTGCCTTTGTCAGCTCGTGTGAAGAGAACATTGGGATTGTGATGGCAAAATCTAGCTGTCAATTTTTGTAAATTATGTAGAGTGTCTTGTGTCCATGTTTCTTGTGAGCCATTATGTAGGAACCGATGAAATTGAGGTATGATTGATGTTTCTAATAGACCTAATATTAATAATGTTATTTCTTTTTGTGTGACCTTCCAGGTCTTTGATAAATTCATAAATCGCTGTTTTTTTATTATTATTTGTTGGGAGGCAAAAATTTCCTCCTAGCTGTAAGAGATTAGATACACATATGAGTATCTTAGTGTTTGTTAGATTAATAAACCATTTGTTGTTGGTATGGAGAAGGGGGTGAGGAGATTCTAATGAGAAGTTTTGGGCAAAATGAATGTGTTTATTATGTTGTCATTGGATGAAGATGTATGTTTTATATTAGTTTTATATTAGTGCGTTATTGTTTGTTGTGCATTGTTACTGATATTACAGTTGAAATTTATTGGTGTACTGTTATTAATGTATTCGGTTCTTTTTCGTTGCATTAACCAAAGAAACTTTTTTTTATGAGAAAAAAACAATTTACGTTCATAATTGTTAAATGAGATAAAATGATGTGTAATAGTTTTCATAATATAGACTGGAAGATTGTTATTTAGAAAACGTGAGATTTTACAAGTTTCAATTTTAGGAAATCAATCAGCTTATATACGAGTTAAAGATTTCTATTTTGAGTATGTTGACTTTAGATTTGTACAACAATCTGTCATTTTGACATGTGTTTTAGTTATCGATGACAAGCTAATCACAACTCAGGCTTTTATATTTTTTCTGGCTGGCTTTGAAACCTCATCAACGACTATGAGCTTTGCTATGTATGAATTGGCTGCTAATCCTAAGATTCAAGAAAAGTTGTACGACGAAATACAAATCACCTACAAGAAGCACGGTTGTTTCTCTTACGATACTACATCCGAAATGAATTATCTCAATTACATCGTTCGCGGTAAGTTTTCATTCGGTATGGAAATTTTGATGATTAAACAGTAAAATGTAAATATGTTTGCAAAATATATCGCACAAATCGCAAAAAATTTCCAGCGACAGTATTGAATTGTTTCAGTAACAGCTAGTATAAGATCAATAATCACTCAATTATTTCCAACTTGACCCACTAATCTATGTAAAATAATTTAAATTTTCACAAATTGTTATTAAAATTAAATTTAGATAAAATAAAAGTTACTTATCAATAATTTCTTATTTATTTCAATTGAGAATAATCACATAGTTTGTAATTGTTATAGTCCGAATGACTATAACTATATTATATTATATTATATTAATATAGTTTTAATAATAAATTAGTAAGTCGGCTATTATACAATCATTTGAGAAACGTTCTCACGCTCTCGCGAAGCGCTTATCGCGAAAAGACGCAAACGCGATGAAATATAAGCGTTACACCGAAAACCGCGGATCGCAAGCGAAGAATCAACCTGCTTCGCTTGCACCTAGATAAAAGCGTGTGAATAAAAATTAGCCAATGAAAGAGCTTCTCTACATCTTCCCCCAAAGATGTAGAAAGGGCAGGAGACCACCGCGAACGGAGAGCGAGGCGATGAAGGCAGTCGCTAACGAAAATCCAAAAAGTCAAGTCGCTAATTAGAACCTAACTAGGAGTCGAAGACAAGCCGCAGAATATAAACTATCACCTGTAATCTGACTATCGAGAGCGAGCATACTTAACTAACCACCCAGGTGGGATTATACAGAATTAAACCAACTCAAGAAATAAGGGAAATAAAAGATTTATTCAAATAAACAAGCGAAGTTAGTCAAAGTGGAGACGCCCGCCGGATCCTAGGATCCTCATCCTTCAGTCGACTGAGACCCCAAAATTTTCCGTGCCTTCTCGGAGGCACAACAGTAATACTGTTGCAATCTTCATGTAAATATTATATAAGATACAAACAAGAAAATAGAATAGAACACATGACTTAATATTTTACGATTATAAATCATTATATATAATCCTGTTTATATTAATAAAAAGATGTTGACAATTTTTAAGAAATGTCACACTTTTAGAATCACTTAAGAAGTATCCTGTGCAACACAAAAAATCTGCGAAGAATCATACAGAATTCCCGATTCGGATGTTGTTTTAGGAAAAGGCACAAAAGTTATCGTGCCCATTTATGCAATCCATTACGACCCGCTTTATTATAAAAATCCAAATGTATTTGATCCGGATCGATTCATTGGTGAAAGTAAAAAGCTTCATGATAATGACACATATCTACCTTTCGGCAATAGACCACGCATCTGTATTGGTAATTTATTTAAATATTTAATTATTGAACAACATTTACATAATGTTATCTTGCTCTGTGTACATTAAAATCTCTTACATATTGCGAAACATTAATATTATACTAGAAAAAATTATTTTATATATTATATACTTGCTTTATAATATATTATATATAATTATTATTAGTGTATACTTTTTGTTTAATATTTTATTTTTATTATAAACAGAAATAAAATTTGCCTCCAAACAAAAGTAAGTCTTGTTACTCTTATTGCAAATTATAAAATGGAGCTAAGTGAAAAGACTGATATTCCATTACAATTCGAACCGACTAGTATTACGTTGACAAGTAAATCTGGAATATGGTTAAAGATCTATCGCCGTTTACAAGAATAGAAGCATTTTTAATTTATGACGATCAGAATAATTCAATATTGGCTAAATCGCAATTTATATATATATATACATACAGAAATATTAATTAATTCGGTTTGAAATAAATAAATATATACATATGTGTGTGCGTTTTATTAAATTTTTGTAAAATATCCCCGATAAAAAAATCAATAAAAAAAATAAAAAACGATTATATCGTTTTTAATCGTAGTTATGAATCGGAAGTTAACTAAAGAATATCGTAAATGTACGATTGATTCTAACGTTTCTTTTCGTAAGTATCTTATTAATGTATTATCGTTTCTTTTCGCTAATGATCGTGAATATACGAAAACCCATCGTAACCCAGCAAACACCAAGTAACTATTGTATTATACATATAACTGTTAGCTAACACATACGTGTTATATTGCATTTACATTGTTGAGTGGGAAATTATAACTAACAGTTATATAATTGTTACTTGGTGTTTGCTGGATAAATTAATGATAAATGTTCTATCGTTTCCTTTCATAATTATCAAACATTTATCCTTAAAAGCACACATTCAGAAGATGTTTAACATTTAGCATGATTAACAATTATAGGTTTCTTTTCTTAATTGTACGTTTAAAAATTTAAAACTTTCTTTATCGTAAATATACAGTTGACTCCGATAAATTTTCAATAATTTTTTCTCGATAAATTCCAACAAAACAATAAAAAGCAATATATTACTCTACGAATTTTATCGTATTTTAACGACTGAATTCGATTTTAACAGAAAATGAAAGAAAACGATAAGAAACGATAACATTTTTTTCAAAATATAAAAATGAAACAATAGGTTACGATAGGAAACGATAAAATTTTTTACAAATTCTATCGGTTCTTAATGTTTTCTATCGATTTTTTTTATCAGGGATGTCAAATTTTTGATAAACTTCATATATGCATCAGTGTACTAAAAAATTAAGATGTATAATTTGCAACATAAAATGTAAATTGTATTTATGTATAAAGTAATATACAGATTTATGTTTAAAGTCTGAAAAGCGGGAAATCAAAACATACGTGTATGTAAATAAATAAAATATATACTTATTATTTATAAAAACAGAATATATTAGATTTATAATTAATGGTATATAATAATGTTATTATTGTTTATAATATTTTCATATTTGCACATATATTTATTAAAGTAAATTCATTTTCTTAATGTAGCATTATTTAGTGTAATGTGTATTGCAACAGAGAATAGGTTGTTTTCGAGAGCATTACGAATTTTGGCCAACATATTATTAATTTTGGATAAGGTTTTTGTCTTTTCAACTAAATACATACTTATGTCGACTCCATGTTGTTCGGCAAGAGCTTTTATCTATAACACAAGTTGTTTCAAAATTTAATGTATACATATCACATTGAAAAACAGACTGTAAATATTTCAAATAATATAATATATTATATGATAAATAATAAAATAATAGTAATATAAAAATATAGAAATAATATTATTTTATCTTCAATGTATTTTACTAATAGTCTAATAATATCGAAGTATAATATTGTTATTTTACCTTTTCAATTTGATCATCCTCGGTATTCATAATAATAAGACGAAGAACATCAGTTCGGCTATTATAAAACATATATTATTTAAAATTGCTTTAAAAATTATTATTAAACATTTGTTATTATATCTATCTCTAAGCAGATAATTATCTACATAAATTAATATAAGCAAAACTTATTTATACATATAAATATTTTGCTTTATATGAGTATAATTATATCATGCATCAACACGTACATATCTTTCAGAAAGAGAAAGACAAAACGTATGAAAAAGAGTTACTTACTTTACAACAATCTTGTCGAATTTCTTAATAAAGAAATCAATAGTTGCATCTATATTTGACATATTTTGCAACATATTTGTAAAGAGATAATCATAAATATGATATTCTTCAAAATAGTTTATATGCCTTTCAACGATGTCTAAATTCTCCGAACAACCAAGAAATATGAGATATTTTAGTGTCTCATTTACTTTCATCTGCAGAAATTGATTCCAAATAGATTCATTTGCTTGCATCAGGCCAAAGCAAATAAATTGGTGGTCAAATGGAATTCTATAATACAAAATTAAAATTAAAATATTTAAGACTTTTAATAACATTAATACATAAAAATCATATATATGGCTTTCAAATATTATATATATATATATATATATATAATAAAAAAATGTGCCAAAAATGAAAATTATTTACTATTATATAATCACTGATCTTTTTAACAAACAATTTGTTCGGCAAATTATTACGCGACATGCTTTTATATTAATAATTATATAGCATTAACTTTATTTATGAGCAGCATATTATACATTATGTAAGACAACAGTATTTATGCTTTGCATTATTTTGAACATACATGCTATCTTATTTTAATAAAGCAAAAATAAAATTCAAAAATATTTTTATATATTTTAAAATATTTTTATATATTTTAAAATATTTTTATATATAAATCTAATTGTTAATTGTTTTTATTGTAGACAGAGAATCGGCATTATCTAATCTAATTTAGTGACATTTGAGATGAAACCAAATTTGTTGAATTTATTTGTCATATTCATATTTCTTAGATAAAATAATAAAAGCTCACGTTTTTCTGATTGGACTTTCCATATATGCAAGTAATTGAGCGGTAGCTTTTGCTCGACATTTGTCAAGCATGTCTGGATATATGTTGTATAAACAAGCAGTGTTCATTAAATCTGACCTAATTTTAATAGTCGCAGGATCATCATCAGAATGCTTGTCAAAACCGATATGTTCAAATAGCTTATGCGTCAAGTTGAAGAAATATGGCTTAAAAACATTTTATAATAATCAAACAATGTAAAAATACAATAACTTAATTCAAGATAGCTTTTTTTCTAATAATTTTTCTACTAATTATTAAATATTTAATTTGCAAAAATAAATCACAAAATTATTATAATTTATGTATATATATATATATATATATTATATATAATATATATACTATATATTTATTTATGTATATATATATAGTATATATATTAATATTTGAATTTAATTAATATTAATATTTTTCTTTTTTTCCTCTTTTTATTAATTTAGATAATTAATCAGTTTTAATATATATTTATAAATTGTGCAAAACATATCTTACTTTAAAGATCGCAGCTACACGGGGTATCCGCAAATAAGAATTTAATCTGTTAATGATTCGGAATACTGGATACCATGGGACGGGATCGATTTCTCGCGACAAATAATTTATAACTTCGAGAAAATTAATAAGATCAAACTGTTGGGTTGCTATCATATGATAAACGTCATCGATAATTTGCGCACGATTCAAAATTGGGATTTTGTCGTAATCGTCGGAATTAAGGAAAGCAATGATTCGTTTCCAATTGATTATATCATAATTTACGCGATAATAGCCTGTATTTAGAATAAAAAAACAATTAAAAATATGTAATGTATGTACATATAATAAAGATCAATATTTCAGAATTTGTTATCAAATTTCAAATAAATTTTTAAAATTTATTATAAATAAATATAAAAAATTTAATAAATTTAATAATTTTTTAAAATTTGTTATCAAATTTTGAATTAAATTTAAAAAATTTTTTAATTTGTACCTTATCTGATAACATAACGATACTTACCTGTCAACTGCTTATTCACAATAATCCAGTCATTAATGTTGACTCCTTCGATCGTTAAACTCTCGTCCTGAGGTTTTAACCAATGAGTAGCCAGAGTTGACGAAGAATTCGGATTACTTTGGGTAATATAATTCAATGGAATCCACCATGCGTCGTTTGTTTCAGTGTCATTAAGAGATGAAAATTTAACACTCTTTTGGGTCACTTTAATCTCACCTGTATCATAATTTCGATCGATTGTTACGACAGGATACGCTGCCTGTTTGAACCACGTGTCCATCACTTCTTTTATTTTAAAATCATTGTGCAGTACGTCTGATTCGTTGAGAGCATCTTGCAATGCTTTCCATAAATCGTCTGGTGTAGCACTACTATATTCGCTGAAAATTAATAATGCATATAATATAGATGTGTAAGTGTACTTGATAATGATAAGACTTTTGATAATTAAAAGCCTTTGCATTTTCTGTAATCTAATACATTTCTTTAAGAAAATTAATATATATAAATTTAATTTTTTTAATTTCTCAAAATTAATTTATTTAAAAAACTTTAGATTATATTATGTAAATTTTTTAAACAGAGGCATGTCTGTGATTAAATACACAAAATAAGTTTAATGTTTAAATAATCAAACATACACGCAAAATGTTTTAATGATCAAACATATATGCGATGAAATTCTCGACACTGTCTTACATCTATTAACTTGAATTATACTTTATTTAAAGGTAAATAATAATAAAAATTTTCAAAAAATTATATATATTTACTGTACTTGAAGATATTTTATCAAACCATTTCGAAACACATCTTCCCTCAAGAAATGCGATACCATTCGCAATAGAATAGCAGCTGAAAAAATAAAAAAACGTAATTTGTAAATATATTTTACAAATATATAAGCAATTACGCGATATAGAGAAAGATAATATTTATCTTAATATAATAATTCTAGAATCTATGATTATGTTTTTCGTTTAAGACAAACGTTTGAAAAAAAATAAATGTACATTAATATATTATAAGAATTGACTTGTGTGACATTTTTTAACAAATTAACTTTATAATTCCTTTTTTCTGTTTTTTGTTGTAAATAACATATTAAGATCTTTATAAAAGATATTATTATAGTTATTTTATATAACAATTATCACATTTCTTCAAATAGATATTTAAAAATGCCATTATATACATATATACATATAGTTAAATAAATATATTTAAAAAATATCTTGCATTTTGTATACGTGTTGCCAGAGTATGCATTGAAGACATCTAAGTGATTAGTAATGTTTATGTTGATCGGTTGGGAAGAGACAAAATTCTCAAACAAGTTTGGTTGTTCATATTCCACCACCAATAAGTCCATCAATCGCCACTCTTTAATAAACTGAGAAGAACAAGTTCATGAAAAGAATTAATACAATATATATTTTGATCGCGAAATCTGCTAATACCTTGTCCGTAATGTAGAACTTCAAATAGGTCGATATGCCTTCGCTTAACCAAAGATAATCCCACCAAGCCGGGCTGACTAGATTTCCAAACCATTGATGCGCCAATTCGTGAGTAATTGTCATGGTGTCAATTATCGAACGCGAATTCTCATTTTGAAGAAGTACGTCTTGCCTTAAATTTTTCAAATATTTTTATTACAAATACGCACGATTATATAATATAAAATATATTATGACATTGCGATATACATAAGTATAATTTTCGGCAGACATTTTACAATGCTCATATTTGTAAACATTGAAATAATCTGCATAAAAAAATAATCTTTATTTTCCTCTGCTTTTTCTCCTTTTTTTATCAAAAATGTTCTAACTGTCAAACAAATAATTGAGGCATTTATTTTATTTTAATAACTATAAGTCTTGTTTGAAAAATATAATAAAATTGTTTTTATTTTAGTTTTATAAACAGAGTTTAAATAATCTTGATAAGTTATACATAAAAATATATCTTTTTGATTTGACAATATATGTAATTATTCAATTATCTCCGTGGTTTTTTAAAAGATTATATATTATTAATTATTTTCTTTGGAGAGAAAAAAATATGTTTATGTATTACTTACACATAGACGATCATGCCCCAGTTTTCAGTCGCACGATTTGAATAATGAGGAATGGAAACGTGGTCCATTTTCGGCACATGAACGGTGCTATTGGTGAATCTTTGGAGTTCGCGCGTTGCTTTCTCAGCGATATCAAGGGGATATGCGGCGTAAGAAAGAAGATGCCTCGGACCCCATATTTTCATGGTACCATCTAAATTCGAAATGTACTCATAATCGGCGATCACAAATCCCAATAAATTGGTGGACATGACAGGTGTCGTCTCGAAGAATGTCCACAATTTTCCATCAACCGAATCGATCTCTGATAGTATGGACGGCATGTTCGACAACGCTGTGTAATTAGGATAATGTTTTATGGAAAATTTGAAGGTCGCTTTTATAGCAGGCTCGTCCCAGCATGGAAACGCTTTTCGTGCGGAGACTGGTTGGAAATGCGTTGCTGCCAACCATCTGTAAATTCATTAGTTTGCTTCAACGTATAAATAATCGGAGAGAGTGAGGGAGCAGATCGCTATATAATTCAAATTAATTTTTTAAAGGCAATTACGACAGTTAATTGTACTCTTCTATTAACATTTTTTATGTAATATATATTTACTTCTTTTATAATATATTAATAATATATAATTATAATAATATTACATTTATTTTATACAGACATGTTTTATATATTTATATTTTATAAAATATTACATTTATGTTATATCTCCTATTGATCTTATTTGTACATGTGTAAATCTTTTATTAATGATTACTTACACTTTATGACCTTCATTATCAGTATAGAAGCTTCGATAGAATCCACGATAAACAGTACTAATCACACCCGTAAATTTGAGATATAGCTGGTAAGTTCCAGGATTCAATCGCTCCTGGAATCGTATAGTCAAAATTTGCGTGTCACGATTATATTCATGCTGTTTTCGAACATAATTCGGTGCAGCATTTACATCGTTCTCTTTGCGAATCAGTGTTGTCAACGTTTCATCTATTGTCAGTTGTACGGTGTGCAATGCAATCGTGTTTGTCGGTTTGCATACCTTAATGCAGATGCTCTCTTCGCCATCGAAAGTAAAGTTACCTTCCAAGATATGTGGTATTAATTTTATATCGTAATGAACAGGCGTGACATATTTTGGTAGCCGATATCTATTTTCTATGTATTCTTCCACTACTGTATTATTCACTACTTCATTATTTTGAAGAAGAGCACTCTGGCCTGCGATAAGCAATAAAGCTATCGTTAACAGACCTTTGACGACCATAACGAGAGAATGTATGTAACACACGTGTAGGCTACTAAAAATAAGTATTATAATTCCGTTATTTGGGAGTCGAAAATATATATATATATATATATATATAAGATAGGAAAAGGACGAAGGAACACGAAAACAAGGATATCGAGTGGGGGAAAGCGCTGGTATGCGAATACCGAGAGCAGAGAGTCGAACTCAGACCGCGAATATCGACAGACTGATATCGATAATGAAAATTCGATTGTGAGAGACTGCATGTCTATCGTAATTCTGCGCATGTTATCTGTAATTATTCTCTAAAAAACAATTCTGACTTTTGACTACGTGCTATTTTTATTTTCAACGGCCAACAATAAATTATTTTTGTGCAAGTGATAAACGAAATATTTTTCAGATATTTCTTTTCCTAATGATTCCTACACACGTCTCTTTCATTAAGAAACTGAAGTAATCTTGTAAAGCAATTAATCTTTCAACATCTGATATTCGGAATCAGAATGTTTATATATGCATCCGCTTTATAAGATATTCTCTAAAAGAAATATGATCGTCTATGACGTTATTACAGTGTATAATAGGTCACAACTGCTGCTTTTTAGTATGTGCCTTTTAACATGTTTCAGCATCTTTCGAGATAATCCTATATGAAAAAAGCTGAGAAGTGTGCGTTGGAGTCGATATGTATCGCGTATATTGTTGTCACTTTTCCACGTATGTATAATTGATGGTCGATTCCGAGCAATCGAGACCGCATTTATGATAATGACAGTTCGTATAATGTCAAAATAGTGAAAGAAATCGTATTTTTGAACATAAATTTGGGCTGCTGATTGTATTACGACAGTTCTGTTTTTTATTAAAAAATTCTTGTACTTCTGGGCATACCTAACATAATGATTCATACATTTGGTTCTAAAGGAAAATTAATTGTTGCTTTAAATGATTAAAACTTACCTGTTGAATTGTATTTAAATAAATTAATTTTGCATAAATTATTCGGCCGGATTCGGCAACCGTCGGGCGCGCTCGGCTCCGAGCTGTATCACGCTGTACCGCGATAATTACACGCTGTTCTATCGGTAATACTGAAAAGAATTATGAGGCGCAAAGCGCCTGCTGCACTGCCCAGCTGATGTTCGCCGGGCGCAGCCTTCCGACGGCTAGTCGGGAACGATAGGGGGTGCTATTGTTACAAATTCAAACGGGTAGTCTGATGGTGTGAGTGGTATACACGGTATGAACACTGACTCTCCTATAGCACAGCCGGTAAACACTGTTGCTTTAATTACGTTTCTTTGGAGGATTTTTACTCGAGAAATTTTGAATTCTATATATGAAAAGTTCGGGTGAAGCCGTAACGAGGGAACGCTAATCAAATACATTATAATCACTGAATATTCAATATCAATAGAAATTCACTTATAACATACATTCAACACTGGTTGCATATACGTACTTACAAAAATTCTAATTGTAAGATATAAGCTGAAATGTTTTTGGTTTACATGTGTGACGTAGTATTTTAGTATTATTTTAAAATATTTCTTAAAGTTTACAAAGAATTACTTGTTTCCAATGCGGCTTAACCTGATGATATATTAACATATTACATAAAATGTTGTCATTTTATAAACCTATGACCTATATAATTATTTTATATGTATTTTTCTTTCTTGATAACGTCAAATAAAAAAGCATATTTTTATTATATTTTAATTATATATAAACAACAAAAGATATTACTTTTTCGAATATAATAACAAAATTAGGAACCTAATATGTTCAAAATAAATAATTTGAGAAAATAATAATAATTTTCGTCTGTTATAAGTTCGCTATTGTATATGCGTCGTGTGTTATGATTATAATTGTTTATCATTACATCGGTTTTTCTTAAAAACAAAAAAATATACAATGTTTATTAATACATTGAGTAGGATAAAACAAGCAGCTAATATTTTAAAATCATATATCGTATATACTGCAATATATCATAAAAATTACAAAATGTTACATTGTAATACATCACATTATGATATTTGTGCAATATTTTATTAATATTACAATGTAATAAATATGACATTATGATATTTAAGAAATATTGCATTAATATTGCAGTGTAATATATCATATGGTAATATTTGTAAAATATTGTGGGAATATTTTAGAATCACATATTATACTGCAAAATACGTAAATATTACAAAATATTACATTGTGATATATATCACATTGATATTTGTGCAATATTGTATTAAGATTATATCTTAATTAAGAATAATAATATTTGTGAAATATTATAGTAACATTGTAGAATCATATATCACACTGCAATATACCATAAATATTACTGAGTAATATCTCAGTAATATTTCAGTAATATTTTGAATATTCCTGCAATATTGTAATATTATTTTTATATCATGTATTATATCATGTGCTGCAACAATAAAATAACTAAAAAGTCAAACAATTTTTAAAATATAAAAATACCCTACTTGATATGAAATGCTCTATATACATTAATTAATATATAGACAAAATATACATTAATTATAATATAATTATATTAATTAATAATATATACATTAATTAATATATAGACGTATACCATACATATACATCTTTAGCATATATTAATTAATGTATAATAAATTTATTTTTATAATTTTCATTTAGTTTTATGATTGATGATGACACAATTGAATCCCAGTGGACCAACAACTCAATATAGTAATCGAACATGTTTAATTATTATATTACACATTTAATACATTAGCGTTATTATTTAACAAAAAATCCAATGTTGCTCAATTGTTGACTCTCTTTAATATGACAATTATTACATGTTACATTATATACAAAAATTTCATACATGTATATCGATATGTTTAGCTGGCTAGCCACATGTCATTTGAATATCGAGCCATGTAATATGTTTATAGATTTCTGTTGAAGCGTATTGCAGTAAAAAAATTAATCTATATACTTTGATTCATATTTTATTTTATTTACTAATGTGTTAGAATAACAATACGAAAACAGCGCTAAGTATTTTTTGTACTTAACATTATTCTTAATTTTATTTTTTAATTTAAATTAAAAATTTTTATTTAACTTTAAATTTTTAATTTCCTACATTTAATTTTTTGTGCCTTATATCACCTTTTTTGAATATAGGTTTAAATGTATTTGAATTAAATAATTAATAAATGATTTAGAGGTAAATAATTTATTTTATTATATATACGTATTTATCTAAATATTTTATAAAAATATATAATAACTTTACAATGTATATACATTCTAGTTTAAATTAATTACATAATTATTCATGTTATTAAATTTATAGAAATAAATAAATATATATATTTTAGTGAATTTATTTTTTAATATACAGGGTGTTCGACAACAGGTGGGCCAAAATGTAAGGAGTGGTTCTACATGATAAAATAAGACAAAAATCAAGAATGACAAAATTGCGTCCGAGACTTTGTTTATTAATTATAAATATTTTAAACTTCGCATTAAGGGCGCCTGACGCACGGCAATTTTCCGATATTTGGCGTGCGTAAGGTACATCGGTAGAGTCGCCGTCAAAATACACTGTGACGCATAAGTATACAAAAACTTACATCGTAACAGTTGATGTATATTTTGCAAAGTGTAAAATATTTATAATTAATAAACGAAGTCTCGAACGCAATTTTGTCATACTTGATTTTTGTCTTATTTTATCATGTAGAATCACTCCTTACATTTTGGCCCACCTGTTACCGAACACCCTGTATATATGTATATTATAAACATTTTAAGAGCAATAATTATACATTTGTTTCATTATAGGAAGTTTATCTAAATATTATATATTATGTTGTCATTTACTTACAATTAGTGTAAATTTTTGATTTCACTACTTTTTGATGCTAATATTTTAACTTTTTTTCTCGTATTATTAATATAATTATTTAGCGCAATTTTTTGATTTCACTACTTTTTGATGCTAATATTTTAAATAAATAATGATCTTTAAGGTTGCCAGTAATAATTAATAAAAAACCACTCCTCAACGTTTAAAGTCGACCAGACTGGCAATAATTTATTATGAATAATTATTTGAAATACAACGTTTCGGCTGTCATTGCAGCCCTTTTCAAGTACATCTATAAAAAGTTCCATCAAAATAATTATAATTTAATACACTTATTCGCAACAATTAATTATACATTTAAAAACAAAAATGTGTTACATACCAAATTTAAAACAGTAAATCAACTTCTATGCAAACAACCGACAATGTTAACGTTTGTTTTGATGAACAATGCAAGACTGACAGAAGTAAGCACAAAATAAATAGATGTTAACTGTTCGCAAGAATCTTAGTCACTAAGCGTTAAGAAAATAGAGACGAAACTAAATGTGTCTTTCGCAATTTAAATCGTCATAATAAAGTCAAATAAATAAAAATAAATAAATAGGTGGATATAAAAATAAAAATAAAAGTAAAAATAAAAACGACTTAAATAACGTCAAGAACCCGATCATAAATCCCACTAAAATTCTCCGTATCTTTCTGTAAATTAATACTTTTTCCTTGTTTTTTTATGTAAAACATTTCTGCAATTTCTCTTTTTCTTGTTTGTTTTTCTTCATGCAGAATCACCGGAGAATCCCAACGGAACTCATGATCGTTGCAAGTCCGATGCAAACTAACGACAGAATGCAATGTCGTGTCTTTTTTTATGTTATTTCTATGTTCTTTAATGCGCGTTTCTAAATGTCTCTTTGTCTGTCCAATATACGCCGAATCGCAATTCGCACATTCAATTTTATAAACAACATCAGTTCTTTTTAAGTTTTCGATCCCATCTTTACCTCTTTTTATCAATGTGTCCAATTTTTTTGGGACAGTATATAAAGCATCAATTCCATTTTTATTAATGCAACGCGTAATGTTCTCGCTCAGATCTTTAATGTAAGGTAACACAATGCACTTTCGCGTATCAAATTTATTTCGATTGGGCGAATTAAGATTACCGCCAAATTTAATCGCTCGAAGTCTTTTATTAATGTTTGTGTTTATAATTGTTAACGGGTAACAATTATTAATAAGAATTCTTTTGATTAAATTAATATTTTCTTCATGAAACATAGGGTCAGCGAGTAAAATAGCCCTATCAACTAGGCTTGTAATGACGCTGATTTTATATCTCATAGGATGATTTGACAGAAAATTAATATAGCGGCCTGAATACGTAGGCTTGCGGAACCAATTGGTCGTCAATCTATCACCAATACGTATAACGTTCGTATCTAAAAAAC